CTCAGGAGGCTGAGGCAGGAGAATGGCGTGAACCTGGGAGGCGGAGCTTGCAGTGAGCCGAGATCGCACCACTGCACTCCAGCCTGGGCGACAGCGTGAGGCTCCGTCTCAAAACAAACAAACAAACAAACCATATTGAAAGTAAGTAGATAACTAATTCTTGACATTTAGAACAAAGCTGTCTATCTAGTAAGTAAGAACTAAGTAAATGTCTTGCCATGTTGCCCAGGCTGGAGTGCAGTGACATGATCACAGCTCCCTGTAGCCTCAAACTCCTGGGCTCAAGTGATCCTCCTGCCTCAGCCTCCCAAGTAGGTGGGGCTGCAGGTGCATGCCATCACACCCAGCTATTTTTTTTATTGTGTAGAAATGGGGGTCTCGTTATGTTGTTCATGCTGGTCTTGAACTCCTGGGCTCAAGCGATCCTCCCACCTTGGCCCCCAAACAGGTGTGAACCACCACGCCCAGCCCAAAGCTTTGTTTATGATATTAGATTTCAAATTTCTAACATATCAAAGTAGCAAAGTAGTACAGTCAGCCCCCTGCCATCACATGGCTTTGACCCAATCTTGTTTCTTTTCTCCTCCCACCTACTCCCTCACTCCCATATTATTTTAGAGCAAATTCCATCCATTTTATCTGCATGTCTTTCAGAATATATCTCTAAAAGACAATAATTCTTCTTTAAAATAATGCTAATTAAAAGTCTATGAAAGTAATATATACTTATTAGCAAAAAACAGATTATTAAAAGTAGAAGCAAAAAGTCACCCATAGTCCTTTTGCCTAAAATAACTCCCATTAACATTTTGATGTATTTCTTCACAGATGAGAAAAAATTAATTTTAAGAACTTTTCCCCCTTCCCTGCCCTATAATGCAAATTGTGTGGGCAAATCTGAGATTATTAGATGCATTGGAAATACTTTCTCTTTTGTAGATAAAAAAACGGGTAGGCAGAATTTTAAAAACATATATTATGGGATGGCTATTCTCTATATAAGGAGTCATGGCAGTTTTTTTCTTAAATGAAAAGTACTTTTATAGAAATTGTTCTTTGAAAATATTCAGCAAATAATTGTTTATTGCTTTCTATGTGCAGATCAAGTTTGTATGATAAATTGTTGATGTATCTACAATTTTAAGAATATTTTCAGCCCTTTGTTTGGTCTGATTGTCTCCAAAGCGGCATAATAGCAAAGAGACTTTTCAAGGTTAATATGAAACTTTTTCTCAGCTATTTTTTTATTATCTATTTCTCAGGGGAAAAGGGAAACTTATCCTCTTAGGCAGTTTCCATAATGTTATACATTTAAAAATTAATCTGAAGGAGCTTAAAATATAAATGCATTAGGTGAAAAATAGCAATTGATTTAAATAAAATGAAGGAGGAGAAGAAAAAGAACCTTACCGACACAAAATAGAATGAGGTTGGTTTGTAGATGGCGCGCGATGTTGCTTCTGCTCACAGTCCCCATTTCTGTGTGTGCCGGGGCGGGCTGGGGTGTGTATTTGAAAGGAAAGTTGGCTTTCTTTTTTCAGAAGGGAAGAGCTGAAGAGAGGAACCTCTTATGAAGGAACCATAATCAGGAACTTTTTGAAATTGTGCAAGGATGGTTTGTAACTCAGCTTCACCATTTAACGTTGAGATTTTGGCCTGGAGCACATTTAGAAATGTGCATATCATTTTTTTTCATGGATTTTACAGTCCTCATAGGTGTTAGATGTTTTTGGGTGAGATTTTGATTTACACATAGCACATATTCCCAGGAAGAAGGAGTATTGTTTGACAGATAATTCATACTTGGATTTTTCAGAACAGTTCAGTCACTGTCCAGGGTATCTGCTGTGGGTGCCACTCTGGGCCAGTAACTACTGGGAACAAAGACACAGCAGAAGGAGAAGTGGCTTTGTGTAGAGACAAGAGAAAAGTTAGTAAACAACACATTCTAGTGCAGTGAAGAAATAAATTGTCTATTATTAACTAGTTGTACTCCAGTTTTGAATTCAAAGACACCTTCCTTCCCCACTTTTTTTTGAGACAGGGTCTCTATCATCCAGGCTGGAGTGCAGTGGCAAGATTGCAGTTCATTGCTGTGGGTGCCACTCTGGGCCAGTAATGGCTGGGAACAAAGAAACAGCAGAAGGAGAAGTGGCTTTGTGTAGAGACAAGAGAAAAAGTTAGTAAACAACACATTCTGATGCAGTGAAGAAGTAAATTGTCTATTATTAACTTTTTGTACTCCAGTTTTGAATCCAAAGACACCTGCCTTCCCCCCTTTTTTTGAGACAGGGTCTCTATCACCCAGGTGGGAGTGCAGTGGCAAGATTCAGCTCATTGCAGCCTCAGCTTCCTGAGTAGCTGGGACTACAGGTGTGCACCACCACCCCTGGCCAATTTTTATTTTTTTGTAGATTCTGTGTTGTCTAGGCTAGTCCTGGCCTCAAGCAATTCCCCTGCCTTCGCCTCCCAAAGTGTTAGGATTACAGGTGTGAGCCACTGTGCCTGGCCCAAAGACCCCCTTTTAATATGTTGAGAAACAAATATGTGGGTCCTCTGTCGTCCGTGTCCTCTACCCCAGTGCTTAGTAGTGATTCAGTAAGGGTCTTCTTTGTAAGGCAGCAGAAACAGACTCAGGCTGACTTAAACAAAAGGAAATTTATGCAAGCATTTGAAGGTAGCTCCTAGAGTCACTGGGAGGGCTGGTGAATCTTGTATGGGATCCACAGCCAGGAAGAATGCCTCAAATCACACCGTAAACAGGTCTGAAGAGGATGCTGCTGCCACTGCCAAACACTAGGTGCCATCAGCCCTTTCGTCAGCATCCCTCAACCATTGCCCCGGCCCCTTGGTCTCACTGCCGTTACTCCACCCCCAGAGAAGGAGAAGCTCACATCCCCACTGCTCTGGGTCACTGGCTCTCCATTCCAGGGCGTGGGCAAGTGTGCCTGGCTCAGGCTGCGTGCCAGTGCCTCAGCTGCACGGCAGGCCAGGAAAGCGGCTCCCAGGCCTTGCCTCTCTCCCAGACTCTGGGCAGGCAATTCCCCAGACATGGGAAGAGCGTCATCTGCACCACTGAAAATTATGAAAAATCTCTCCACCATGATATGATGTCTGCCCTTGGCATCTGCTCATGATATATTTTCTCATTAACAGAAAGACAAAGTTATTCGCAATCTGGTTGTTTTTTTTTTTTTTTTTTGGAGATGGAGTCTCGTTCTGTCACCCAGGCTGGAGTGCAGTGGCATGATCTTCGCTCACTACAAGCTCCACCTCCCAGGTTCACACCGTTCTTCTGCCTCAGCCTCCCAAGTAGCTGGGACTACAGGTGCATGCCGCTACGCCCAGCTGTTTTTTTTGTATTTTTTTTTTTAGTAGAAACGGGGTTTCACCGTGTTAGCCAGGATGGTATTGATCTCCTGACCTCGTGATCCACCCGCCTCGGCTTCCCAAAGTGCTGGGATTACAGGTGTGAGCCACCACGCCTAGCCTCAATCTGGTTTTAACATTTCAACAGATGTATGTAGTTTTTGTATCACCATAGTACCTAAAAAGTACCCCCAAAGTTAAATATACTATCATCTCTGTGTGTGTCTATAGTCAGTGCCAGGTTTGTATGTGAATTTAAGGACCTTCCCTAGTTCCCTTGTCCCCCAGGCATCTTCTGCTCATGTTTGGAAATGACTGATAGAGGCTTCATCTCTAGTCGAAGAAATGCCGGACAGTGCATCCGTCCTACTGTTCCACCTCTTTCTGGTCCTGGAGCTTAATGTTTATAAAATTGTTCTGAAAAGGCAAGGAATGAGTCAGTTTCCCTTGAAAAACTCCATGATGATCTGTTTTTATAAATTAAAATCCTTCATGAGCTGTTTTTATTTTCAGCCTAATAAATCTCTTTGGGTAATAAGTTGCCTAAGTTTCCTACACCAGTAGTATTTTCTTGCATTTGTCCAAAACTGTCTTTCAAATATTACATGTTACTCTCAGTTGCAGTATTCCAGCATTTAATAACCAGTTTTCTAAACCCATTAACCATTACACCCCCCAGTCAGTCTATTGGCAGATACTACCCAAAACTGTCAGATAAGATAACAGTGTGGGCCTTGGATCCAGACAAACCTGGGCTTACGTTTCCGTGCTGACACTCATTAACCTTGCAAGTGTGGGCAAGTTCTTCAGCCCTTCTGAGTCTATTCTTTATCTCTGTGCCCACGTGTCTCAAAGAGTACCTGGGAAGTATGAAAGAGGTAACTCATGAAGCCCTCAGGCCTGGAACATACCAAGTCCTTGGTGGATATGGCTCCTCCCTGCTTCCCTCTTTAAATCACTTGTTTGTTCAAGAATTTAACTGAATGTTTTTATTTGTATTAGTAGGTGGCAAGTGGGAGAAACCATCAGAAATTTTGGAAATCAAGGGACAGAACTGGGAAGAACAAGTGAATAGTCTGCCTGAAGTTTTCAGAAAAGCCGGTTTTGTTATCGAAGCTTTCACCAGACTGCCATACCTGTGTGAAGGCGACATGTATAATGACTACTACGTTCTGGATGACGCTGTCTTTGTTCTCAAACCAGTATAAACACGTGGAGGTCGAAGTCTTCAGAGTCCACATCCTCTGGGATGTGCCCTTGGAAGAGGGTCTGTGTTCACAATTATGTGAAGGGAGGACCCTTGGGGACCGCCATTCTAAATATCATGTAGGAATTTAAAAAGCCAAAATACTAATTATTTCTTTGTAGTGTGTAAAGGAATGTTTTTAAAAGACAAAAACCCAACTCTTTGTGAATTTTTATCAACTCTTTACTCAGAGCCACTCTCCAACGCAGGTCACACTCCAATTATGATGGAAGATATTTTTTATACTTAATTACAGTAGGGACTCATTCCCAGACAAAGCAATAGTCACAACTTCATGGAACCAATCAATGGATTGTTTTTTGAAGACTGGCAATAAAGCTGTCCATCCAATTCCAAATACTGGTTTTAAGGTATAGCCGCTGATATTCTTTCATGTTTAGAATTCTTTCTGTTATTATTCAAGAAAATGTTTTTAATCATGCTAATAAACTTTTTTGAAGATGACTTTGGCATCATGTTTGAATTAATATAAGGCTCCCCTAGCATTTTTTATTGGTTTGGCTTCAGGAGTACCCAAATAGTAGCATTATGTGAATGACGCAGATAATTTGAATAGCGGGGAAGGAAGGCTTCAGACTGGGGGGAAGGGGAGATGATTGCAAATTGCAGTGAACACTGAGGCAGTAAAAAAAACAAAAACAAAACAAAAACCCAGCCTCATTCAGATATAGAACTTCAGGGACCACCTCCACTCCCCAGTTAATGCTGCTGTGAAAATGCAAAATAACCTGGTTCTGACTTTTCATTGCTCATGTCCCACACACTGAACTTTTGTTTTTTTCTGGACAATCTCAGGTTCTCAGAATTGAAACATTCAGTTTTGTCTACTGACAAAATGCAACTAAAAATGTTTTAATTCAACTTCTTACTCTACACTTGTATACCTCTCTCCCAGAGCTTGGCTCTTCCCTGAAATCCTTAAAGGAGTTTATTATTTGCCAAGAATATGGTTTGATGAAGACCGTGTCAGACTCATGCATTCTGGAATCCGTGAGTGCCTCCAACCATAAACCCAGAAACGCTGCAATAAGGAACCCATTAGCAAGATCAATAACCATTGTGGATATTCCAAAGAGCAGACCACTTAACCCAGAATCTGAAATCTCAGTAATAACAGAAATGTCGATATGAGATTGTGGTTATTAACAATATGTTATTCTCACAAGTTTATTTCTTTTTTCATCCAGGTGTTTCATTAAGTATTCTCATTTATATGCTCATAGAAGTCATCAGATCAACACATTCACTCCAACACCCGGGTATAAAGGCGAATTAAAACCTGAAGAATTACTTTATTATTCATTAAGAACTGCATTCCCACATCCTCACACCAATATCTTCCACTGTTACTGTGCAGTCATACTAAGAGTTGGGTTATGTGATTTATGCAAAATTGTTATTGGTGTGTTCTAATGCTTTTTTTCCAGGAATTCAAATAAGTGAAGTACAAATACTTAGCACCATAGACTGTAAAAATAGAAAGAAGAAACGAGAAAACTTAATGTCGTTCTTGTACAGCTGAGTTTTGCTTCTTTATAAACTGTCTGTCAAAATCAGGGGTTGCTGTTAGACTGTCAAGCAGAAGTGATGGATGTTCAAAGAGGCGGGTTGCCCCCGTGTTTTCTAACTTTCAAGGTGAGAATTTTATGTTCTAATAAGAAAAATACAACTCATTCTTAACCACCCCCCAAAACAGAGAAAACACATACCTTTATGCATTTTAAAGATAAAAGTAGTTTCTCAAAAAAAAATCAGTAGTTTCTCTGAAAACCAGCTTATTAAAAGTGCTGTTTTATGGTGAAAATTGAAACCAAATCCACTCACATTTCGTATCGGGTCTTGAAATTCTTGGTGGTGTGTCACCATTCCACTAGATGGCAGTGTTGCTTACTGAGTGTCAATGGCTTTTTTCCCCCTAAATGGAATCATGTTTTTCTCCCCACAAAGTACAATAAAGCTGCCTTGTCTGCACCATTCCTCGTGTAAGTGCTTCATATCAAGTTAAGACTCTACTAGAGAAATTAAGAAGAGCTTTATTTGTGGTCAAAGCAAGCTAACCAATTGACCTTAAAGGTTGAAATGCAAGCTACACCTGTGATTCCTAGCTCCCTGCATGCACCTGCATTTTAAGCTCCTAAAGTGCTCAGACCACTGATCTCAGAGAGGAAAGGAGGTACAATGCCCTTAGTCATTTATCGCTTGTATAGAGTAGTTAAAAGCAATACTGTATTTTCTGTCATCCAGTGTGACCTGTCGTCAGTTTTTACATGGTTGGCTTTTAACAGAAAAAAAGTCGGGTTGGAAAAGAAAATGTAGATGTTTCAAGTCTTCCTGAGCAAAGCTTTGTTTTCCCTTGGTTCTGAGTATAGTATTAATAGGCTATACTGAGTATGTTAATTACAGTATTAATGAAGCAAGATGTTTTCATTAATTGCTTCCCACTATTTGGTTACTGATAGAGGTGTTCCATGATCCTTTTTCTCTAGCAATGGCAGTAGAGTATCATGGGCTGCCAGTGGCTACAGTGGCCTACCATGTTAGTGCAGATGCGTAAGCACCCCCAGTTACCTTATATCCAGTGCTTCCACTGGCTGGAAGATAGTGCATGGAATCAGGGCAGCCTGGACTGAGTTGTACTGTCTAGGAGTGCACTGAGCACAAAACTGGGCTCATAAGTAACTTGAAACAAATCAGCACTATGTTGCCTAGGCTGATCTTAAACTCCTGGCCTCAAGTGATCCTTCCACCTTGGCCTCCCAAAGTGTTGGGACCACAGGTGTGAGTCACTGCCCCTGGCCTTGCACTCCCTTTATCTTGCAAAACTGAAACTGTGTTCATAAACAAGAACTCTCCATTCTCTCCACCCCATCCTCTGGCAACTCTCATTCTACTTTCTGTCCCTGTGACTACTCTAGGTAGTCATGACCCACCCCATGATCCAGTCACCTCCTATATAATTGGAATTATACAGTATTTGCCTTTTTGCGACCCGCTTATTTCTCCTCCTCCTCCTCCTCCTCCTCCTC